GCTGCTCAGTCAAGGCTAGACATAACGAAAGACGTAAAGCTAAAGCAAAGGGTGCTAAGACCACCGGAACCAACAAGTTTACACCCCCAGAGGTCCACACAGGGGAAACTGGACGGTTGAAGTTAGACCGGAGTCTGCTCGACGAGAGTGGCCGGACGGCACTCATGTCCAGGGTCCGCTGTGGGGGCTCGCGGAAGGTGAACTTGATTTAGACTTAGCGCCTACCTTCGCCGGCGGGAGGATGTGGAAATTTATTTGGTCCCTAAAGTTCCACAGGACAGATCCAGCATGGCTGTGATGGAACGGCTGAGCTGGATGGCCCTTATACCCCACCCAAACATAAAAGCATTCTCTCGAGTTGGCGGGGATTGTTGGTAAGCTTATTTAATTTATAGATTTACTCTTCAGGGAAGGAGTAGGTAGTTTTTTACTGGTAGTACACTAAATTAGGATTTTTGGGGCAACGTAATAAAATAATGTAGACCAAACCTTAACATAGGTAGAAATAGGCCAAATGTAGGCAAAAAATGGGTAAGTTAGCTAGGGAAACTGGCACCCTAATTTGAACGAAAGACGGGGTCTGGAAGAGAGACCACTCTTCTTTTTAAGACAGACCCCAAAACTGGAAAAGACGTGCCGTGACACAACGCGCCCCCCATGTGTCTCACATTTGGACCGGGAAATCTGGGAGAGGCACCTCGAAAGTACCTAATGACCCCCGTCAGGCCCCCAAAAGTAAGACAAACCTCCACTTTTTCTCGTAGATTTTCTTTCCATTTTCCTGGGGGATTGGGGTAAAGGTCTTAGCCCGGGCAAACAGCCCCGTGCCCCTGCCCCAGGGAATTTTACCAAAGGGTCCAAGGGGATCTGGAACAAAGCAATTTTTCAAGTTACTAGGGGGTACAATTTAAACCCTTCCCCGGTTAAGATTTCTTTTGGGTGAAGGGCAGGACCACCCCTAAATTTTAAAAACGTTTGAAAATTTTTTTCCAGGGGAAAAATTATAAGGGGCTTTAGTTTGGGACGGGTGGGTTTTAACCCAGGGGAAGCCAAAGGCAAGCTTAATCTTTAGGGGAAGGGTTGAAGATTTTTAGGATAAATTGCGCTTTCACACAAGGGGTTTAAGGGGGAAAAAAACCTTTATAAAAAGTGCATGGCAAAAGGGGAAGTTTTCTTGGGGGAACCCCAATTTTAATTTCCCTTTGGGGGGAAAATTTAGTCCTTAAAAAAGCCCAAACCTGTTAGGCTTTGGAAAAGGGTTACCCCAAATTTTTTTGGGGGCTCCCGGTTGGTTTCAACAGGGAAAAAAAAAATTTTGGGGCCCGGAGGGTTTTGGGGGGGCCCCCAACTTGGGGGGGCAGTAACCAAAACAATAATTTTCCTTATCTTAGGGGAAAAATTTTTTTGGTTTGTTTTGGGGCCCCCCGATGGGAAAAGGTTTCTAGGGTTTAGGGAAAAACAAAAAAAAATTTTTTTTCCTTTCTGTAAAAACCCCTTGTAAGGGTTTTTTACTTGGTAGCAACGCATTACTATATGTTTTAATTCAGTAACATGTGGGCTTTGTCTTTTAGGGGAAATTTATTGAGCACCTGAGAGTATAGGGGGATGTTTTTCTTGCTCATCATTTTTAAACTTTCCCGGTTTCACTAAAACGGGTAATGTTTACTTTGGTACTCCCGTAATGTTTTCACTGTGGAGGTTTTGTAGGGATTTTTAATTTTAATTTACATTATAATTTATTTTATTTATTTTTTTATTTAAAAATTTGAGCACACATACAGAGGTACAAAAAATACAGATAAGAGCAGCATGCCAAAGCCACTTATACTATGCATAGCATTACGGGCTGGCTTAAAATTAACTTAAGATTAACTAAGCAATGATGAAATCAGTGATAAAACATTAATGTAAACAGGTTACTATAAAGCACAAGTGAGTATTACAAAGACAGGTCATATGGTTGTATGCATTGTTGTACATTCAGTAGAATGGAGTATTCTGTTAGGTAGTGTATTTAAAAAATAATAAAGTTAGATTGGGTTTTAGGTTTAACATTTATGTGATATAATTGTGAGAAACATTTAAGATATACAATTTATAAGGTTCAGTTATTCAGTATTTATTTGGTTTTGGGTGAGTAAGTGATCTTTGAGAAGAGACTTGAATTTATAAACAGGTAGTGTTTCTTTTATATTTACAGGTAATGAGTTCCAGATTTTAGGGCCTTTTATGTGCATTGAGTTTTTGCATAGTGTGAGATGGACACGAGGAACATCAAAGAGTGATCTGTGCCTTGTATTATGGTCATGTGTTCTGTTGAGGTTGGCAAGGAGATGTTTGAGGGGAGGGTTAATATCAGAGTTAAGTGTTCTATGTATGTAATACCTGGAGTTTACCTGGAGAGAGTTCCGGGGTCAACGCCCCCGCGGCCCGGTCTGAGACCAGGCCTCCTGGTGGATCAGGCCTGATCAACCAGGCTGTTGCTGCTGGCTGCACGCAAACCAACATACGAGCCACAGCCCGGCTGATCCGGAACTGACTTTAGGTGCTTGTCCAGTGCCAGCTTGAAGACTGCCACGGGTCTGTTGGTAATCCCCCTTATGTGTGCTGGGAGGCAGTTGAACAGTCTCGGGCCCCTGACACTTATTGTATGGTCTCTTAACGTGCTAGTGACACCCTGCTTTTCATTGGGGGATGGTGCATCGTCTGCCAAGTCTTTTGCTTTCGTAATGAGTGATTTTCGTGTGCAAGTTCGGTACTAGTCCCTCTAGATTTTCCAGGTGTATATAATCAGTATCTCTCCCTCCTGCGTTCCAGGGAATACAGGTTTAGGAACCTCAAGCGCTCCCAATAATTGAGTGTTTTATCTCCGTTATGCGCGCCGTGAAAGTTCTCTGTACATTTTCTAGGTCGGCAATTTCACCTGCCTTGAAAGGTGCTGTTAGTGTGCAGCAATATTCCAGCCTAGATAGAACAAGTGACCTGAAGAGTGTCATCATGGGCTTGGCCTCCCTAGTTTTGAAGGTTCTCATTATCCATCCTGTCATTTTTCTAGCAGATGCGATTGATACAATGTTATGGTCCTTGAAGGCGAGATCCTCCGACATGATCACTCCCAGGTCTTTGACGTTGGTGTTTCGCTCTATTTTGTGGCCAGAATTTGTTTTGTACTCTGATGAAGATTTAATTTCCTCATTGTACCATATCTGAGTAATTGAAATTTCTCATCGTTGAACTTCATATTGCTTTCTGCAGCCCACTGAAAGATTTGGTTGATGTCTGCCTGGAGCTTTGCAGTGTCTGCAATGGAAGACACTGTCATGCAGATTCGGGTGTCATCTGCAAAGGAAGACACGGTGCTGTGCTGACATCCTTGTCTATGTCGGATATAAGGATGAGGAACAAGATGGGAGCGAGTACTGTGCCTTGTGGAACAGAGCTTTTCACCGTAGCTGCCTCGACTTTACTCTGTTGACGACTACTCTCTGTGTTCTGTTAGTGAGGAAATTATAGATCCATCGACCGACTTTTCCTGTTATTCCTTTAGCACGCATTTTGTGCGCTATTACGCCATGGTCACACTTGTCGAAGGCTTTTGCAAAGTCTGTATATATTACATCTGCATTCTTTTTGTCTTCTAGTGCATTTAGGACCTTGTCGTAGTGGTCCAATAGTTGAGACAGACAGGAGCGACCTGTTCTAAACCCATGTTGCCCTGGGTTGTGTAACTGATGGGTTTCTAGATGCGTGGTGATCTTGCTTCTTAGGACCCTTTCAAAGATTTTTATGATATGGGATGTTAGTGCTATTGGTCTGTAGTTCTTTGCTGTTGCTTTACTGCCCCCTTTGTGGAGTGGGGCTATGTCTGTTGTTTTTAGTAACTGTGGGACGACCCCCGTGTCCATGCTCCCTCTCCATAGGATGGAAAAGGCTCGTGATAGGGGCTTCTTGCAGTTCTTGATGAACACAGAGTTCCATGAGTCTGGCCCTGGGGCAGAGTGCATGGGCATGTCATTTATCGCCTGTTCGAAGTCATTTGGCGTCAGGATAACATCGGATAGGCTTGTGTTAATCAAATTTTGTGGCTCTCTCATAAAAAATTCATTTTGATCTTCGACTCTCAGTCTGGTTAGCGGCTTGCTAAAAACTGAGTCATATTGGGACTTGAGTAGCTCACTCATTTCCTTGCTGTCATCTGTGTAGGACCCATCTTGTTTAAGTAGGGGCAGTAATAAGTATGAATGTTTTGTATGGTGAGTAGGTTTAGTGTATTGAATATTGGTGGAGTGTGCTGCCTATAGTGAGAATTTGTTATCATTCTAACTGCAGCCTTTTGTTGGGTAATTAGTGGTCTGAGATGGTTACTTGTTGTTGAGCCCCATGCACAAATTCCATAGGTGAGATAGGGGTAAATAAGAGAGTGATATAGGGCCAGGAGGGCTGACTGTGGAGCATGTTCATGTTCATCCCTTGTGCAAGTATTAATGATACATTCTAGCTGGTCTGAGTAGTATATAGCTGTGCCACCCCCTTGCTGGTCTGGCCTATAGTTGTGTATGGCTGTGTAACCAGGAATGGCATAGACATCTGTAGTATCGGGCTTTAGCCAGGTTTCGGTGAGAGTAATGATGGACATACTGGTATGCAGGGAATTTAGTAATGCTGTGAGGTCATCGTAATGTTTGCTTAAAGATCTGATATTGTAGTTAAAGAGAGTTATGTTGTTGTTGGCTCTGAGAAGTGCCTTTGATTGTTCTGCTGTGTAGTAATTACAGTTACTGTTTGATTCATTTAAGTCATTAGATAAGAGGTCGGTATCAGGATCAATGCTAGTTATCATAAGATTTATAGTGAATCTATAGTTAGAATTAAGTATAAGACAAAGTAAATATTGTAAAGCTATAAAATATGTAACATATGTAAAACTATACAGACCTACATAAAAACTTGTATTTGATTTATTTTTTTTTCCATTCGAGTTTCTTCAATGTTTATAGCGAGGGAGGCGGCGATGGAAATTGACATTGTTCCCTGAGTCAGCACGCACACACACTCTCACTCTCTCACCACTCACTCGTCCAGTAGACTTCCATAGTCTGTATTATAAACATATTTCAGAGGAGAGTGCTGGCTTTTCTGAGCAGAGTAGAAAAGCTTCAGGTGTGTTAGGCAGCTGGAGTTTGCCTCAGGTACTAACTGTTTTGGTGAGTATTGCTGTACGACCCTTGTAGGTTTACCGCGTCTTTTTTATTTTTTATAATAATTTGGTGAGTACTGAAGTGTTCGCTGCCTCAGATTATTGTGGAGAAGCAATTTTCGAATGGAAGGACTGGCCCCTCTGTAGGGGTTCCTTGATGGTGAAGGACAAGCCCCTCTGTAGGGGTTCCTTGATGGTGAAGGACAAGCCCCTCTGTAGGGGTTCCTTGATGGTGAAGGACGGGCCCCTCTGTAGGTTCCTTGAGTGAAGGACGGGCCCCTCTGTAGGGGTTCCTTGATGTTGGTGAAGGACTGGCCCCTCTGTAGGGGTTCCTTGATGTTGAAGGACTGGCCCCTGTAGGAGTTCCTTGATGTTGGTGAAGGACTGGCTCCTGTAGGGGTTCCTTTATGTTGAAGGACTGGCCCCTCTAGGGGTTCCTTGATGTTGGTGAAGGACTGGCCCCTCTGTAGGGGTTCCTTGATGTTGGTGAAGGACTGGCCCCTCTGTAGGGGTTCCTTGATGTTGGTGAAGGACTGGCCCCTCTGTAGGGGTTCCTTGATGTTGGTGAATGACTGGCCCCTTTGTAGGGGTTCCTTGATGTTGGTGAAGGACTGGCCCCTCAGTTGATGTTTCTTGATGTTAGTGGAGGACTGGCCCTTCAGTAGATGTTTCATGATGTTGAAGGACTGGCCGCTCAATAGAATCCTTAAGATAAGATTTTCTTCGGATTTTTAACCCCAGAGGGTTAGCCACCCAGGATAACCCAAGAAAGTCAGTGTGTCATCGAGGACTGTCTAACTTATTTCCATTGGGGTCCTTAATCTTGTCCCCAGGATGCGACCCACACCAGTCGGCTAACACCCAGGTACCTATTTGCTGCTAGGTGAACAGGACAACAGGTGTAAGGAAACGTGTTGAAATGTTTCCACCCGCTGGGAATCGAACCCGGGCCCTCCGTGTGTGAAGCGGGAGCTTTAGCCTCCAGGCCACTGGGTGAAGGACTAGCCCCTCAGTAGAGGTTCCTTGATGTTGAATGACTGGCCTTTCAGTAGAAGCTCCTTGATATTGAAGAGCTGGCCCTTCAGTAGAGGATCCTTGATGTTGGTGATGGACTGGCCCTTCAGTATAGGTTACCTGGAGTACCTGGAGGGTATTCAGAGGGTCAGCACCCCTTTGGCCCAGTCCAAGACCAGGCCTCTTGGTGGGTCAGGGCCTGACCAACCAGGTTGTTACTGCTGGCCACACACAGATGGCTGGTCAGGTACTGACTATAGGTGTCTGTCCAGCTCTCTTGAAAACAGCTAGAAGTCTGTTGGTAATCCCCTTTATGTATTCTGGGAGGCAGTTGAACAGTCTTGGCCTCCTGACACTTATTGTGTTGTCTCTTAGCTCACTCATGGCACCCCTGCTTTTCACTGGGGGAATGCTGCACTGCCTGCCAAGTCTTTTGCTTTCGTAGGCAGTGATTTCGGTGTGTAGATTTGGGACTAGTCCCTCTAAGATTTTCCAGATGTATATTATCATGTATCTTTTTCACCTGCATTCCGAGGAGTACAGATCAAGGGCCTTCAACCATTCCTAGTAATTTAGGTGCTTCATGGTACTTTTACATGCAGTAAAGGTTCTCTGTATATTTTCTAGGTATGCAGTTTAACCTTCATTGAAAGGCTCCATTAGTGTACAGCAATATTCCAGCCTGGAGAGAACAAGCAATTTGAAGAGAATCATCATTGGCTTGGCATCCCCAATTTTGAATGTTCTCATTATCCATCCTATTATTTTCCTAGCAAATGGGGTAGATACTACATTGTTGTGATCTTCGAAAGCAAGATTCTCTGACATTACCACTCCCAGGTCTTTCACATTAGTTTTTCACTTTGTTGTGTGATTTGAATTTATTTTATACTCCAACACAGTTTTTATTTCTTTGAGATTTCCATAGTGGAGAAATTGAAATTTATCTTCATTGAACTTCATATTATTTTCTGACACCCATTTAAAGACTTGGTTAATGTCTGCTTGGAGATGTGCAGTGTCCTCGATGGATAACACTGTCATGCAACTTCTGGTATCATCATCATTAGAGGAGGACATGGTGCTGTGGCTTACATCTCTGTCTATGTTGGATATGAGGATGAGGAAAAGGATGGGGTGGGGGGGGGGGCAAGAACTGTACCTTGTGGAACAGAGCTTTTCACTGTAACCCCCTCTGACTTTACTCTATTTACTATTACTCTTTGTGTTTTATTTGTTAGGAAGTTATAGATCCATTTACCGACTTTTACTGTTATTCCTTTATCATGCATTTTATGTGCTATTACACCGTGATCACACCTGTTGAAGGCTTTCGCAAAGTCTGTGTATATAACAGCATTTTGATTGTTCTCCAATGCATCCAAGACCATGTCAATGTGATCCAGTAGCTGTGAGAGGCAGGAGTGATCTCTAAACCCATGCTGCCCTGGGTTGTACAATTGATGGGTATCCAAGTGGTTGGCAGTCTTGCTTCTTAGAACCCTTTTAAAGATTTTTATGATGTGGGACGTTAGTGCAGTTGGTCTGTAATTCTTTGCAATTGCTTTACTGCCACCCTTGTAAAGTGGGGCTATATCTGTTGTTTTAAGTGACTGTGGGATGACACCCTGTGTTCGTGCTCCTTCTCCATAGAATAGTTAATGCATGTGAAAAGGGGGTTTCTTGCAGTTCTTGATGAACACAGAGTTGCAGGAGTCTGGGGCTGGGGCAGAGTGCATGGGCATGTCATTTATTGCTTTTTTAAAGTCCTATGGTGTTAGGATTATATCAGAAATTCTTGAATTGACAAGTTTTTGAGTCTCGGTCATAAAAAAATCATTTACATTGTCGACCCTTAGTCTGATTAACAGCTCAGTAAATGCTGATTCATATTGGGACTTCAGTATCTCACTCATGTCTTTGCTGTCATCTGTGTAAGTCCCATCTTGTTTAAGGAGAGGCCCAATACTTAGGACACGAACAGGAAAGAATTCTTTATTTTCTTGAAGATTTTATTCAGACTATTAACCTGTAGATTAAGATTCTTCATGTCCAGTCACAGCATTACAAAATATAAAATAATCAGAAAGCCCATAGGATTTACTGCATTTTGAGCAGAACTTAGCCTAGCTCTAAGAACATAGTTTAGTATAGGTTACAACAGAATTGATAAAAAAAAAAAAAAAAAAAAATTAATTATCGAGGTAAGACAGGGTGAGTGAAACTAATTTATTAACTTAGTTTAATGCAATAGAAGTTATATGAAGTTTTTTTTTAGCATACATGGATATTAGAAGTTAGGCACAATGATTATTTTGTGTAAATTTCTCAGTAAAACATCTGTCTAAATGAAGAGAATTTAAACATGTGGTACAATATATGGGAGTAATTTACACTATGTATGATAATTGTACTTATGTGTACTTGCACCTAAATAAACTTACACAAGAATGAATAATGGAGGAAGATATGCTTGAACATGGATGGTTATTGTCATGAATAGCAATAAAGAAGACATGCCTTTTCAACATTGGGTTTGAGGTGGATGCCAGATAGGGAATATTAGGAATCTTCTGGCAGTTTCAAATTTTTGGGTCTCTTGTGCTATTGAGACTACTCATGTTGTCATACACAGCCTCCAACTTCCAGCTTCCTCCTCACCACAACATTTGAAACCTGTGCTTCACACTCGTACAACAGTGTTGGTACCGATATACTGTACTCTGGTATATTACAGATGCCTTAATGCACCACCCATTTTTCCTTGTCAGTTCTATGGTTCGCACCTCGTCCATAATAGAACCATCACTGATAAGTCCACTCCCCAATTTCTGAATACATTTACTCCCCCCATCCAATCTGATATCCATTTTCTCATTGCCTGTGTTTTTTTATACTGTCATCACCTTGCTCTTGCCAGCATTCACTTTTAATCTCCTTTTACATACCCTCCCAAATGCATTTACTAACCTTTGCAATGTCTCTTCAGAATCTTCCAAAAGAACCATGTCATTGGGAAAAAGCAACTGTTACAACTCGCACTCTGTATCAGATTTGCCATCTTTAAAGTCCATACCTCTCCCTAACACCATAGTGTTTAGTTTGACAACTCCATCTAAAAATATGTTAAACAATCATGCTTAAATCATATATCCCTGTCTAAGACCTACTTTTACTGGAAAATAATCTTCCTCTCTCCTATATACCCTAACCTGAGCTCCCTGTCCACATAAAAGCTCTTAACCACTTTTAATAACCTACCACCTATTCCATACATTTGCAACATCTGCCACATTGCTCTCCAATCCACCCTATCATATGCCTTTTCCAAATCCATAAATGCAATGCAAAGTGCCTTACCTATATCTGAGTATTATGCACTTTATGTGCTTCCATGGAAACACTTAGCCTACACATCCCCTTCCTTTCCTAAAACATCTTTGAAGTCCTACTCTCTTACCCATAATTCTTTCAGTAAGAACTCTACCATACACTTTTCCCAGTATACTCAACAGGCTTATTCCCCTAAAATTCATACACACTTATTTATCCCCTTTTCCATTATACAAAGGAACTATACGTTCTGCGAATCCCTAGGGACCTTACCCCCTTTTCATGCATGTATTGAACAAATGCAGCAGCTAATCCATCTGCTGTTAACATTCATGTTTTCATTTTGTCTATTCCAGCTACTTTACCTCCCTTTCATTCTACCCACTGTCACATACAACTCCCCACACACACATCTGGCTCTCCTTCACTCCTGAAAGATGTTATACTTCTCTGCCCTGTGCAAGAAAACAATGCCTCCCTCTCTTCACAAGCATTCAACAACTCATGTAGAGCTAGTATTTTATAAAAATTGTGTAAATTAGTTTTACCTAAATTAAGTTTTGCTCTCCCTGCTGTGTCTACCATTAAATCATAACTGGCTAGATTTGAGTATCCTTGCATCCTAATTTTATTTTACTATTAGTTCTGTTTCCAGTTTAACCTTCAGTAATTTAAGATTTTAATTTTGAATTCAGAAGAATGTAAATTTCAATTATTTAATTTGTTATATATTGTGATTTTTGTGATACTGTACAATGTATTAAATGCAAATAATTTATATTTCAGAAAAGTGTAGAAGCTGATAACTCTTTACTTGAATAGTATAGAAAAAATGGCTCAGAGAAAAGCTCATAAGCTTGAGGATAAGGAGAGAACAATCGATATTCATATAGAGGAAAATGTGGACTTTAATGGCATGTACTTATCTGACCATGTACTGCAAGGATTAAAATCTTCAGGTTTTGAGCGACCGAGTCCCATCCAGTTAGCTGCCATTCCTCTTGGTCGATGTGGGCTGGACTTAGTAGTGCAAGCAAAGAGTGGTACTGGTAAAACATGTGTTTTTGCCGTCATTGCATTGGAAATGGTAAATGTATCTGCTCCTACAACACAGGTTCTAGTTATTGCACCGACTCGTGAAATAGCTGTACAGATAACTCAAGTAATAAATGCAATTGGTAGTGCTATGCTGCAACTGAGAGCCTTTACATTTATTGGTGGAATTCATTTGTCTGAAGACATAGCAAAACTTAATTGCTGTCACATAGCAGTAGGAACGCCAGGTCGCTTAACTCAACTTGTTGAACAAGGCCTTCTTAAAGTGGATAATATTAGATTGCTTGTGTTGGATGAAGCAGACCAACTTCTAACTGGTCAATTTGCAGAAAGTGTAGTCCATTTGGCTTCTGCCCTGCCTCTGAATAAACAAGTAATAGGTCTTAGTGCAACATACACTGAAGATGTTGCCAAAGTTGCAGAAGGACTTATGCGATCACCAAACCATGTTCGACTCGGGAGAGATTCTCCTGCCCTTTTGGGTGTTAACCAATTTGTAAGATTACTTCCATATCACCATCAACTACATCGGAGACAACAGATAAAATTAACTGAACTTCAGGCTCTTCTTGCCACTGTAACATTTAATCAGTGTCTTGTATTTTCAAGCTCTCAGCTACGTGCTGAATCTATATGCAATGCATTAAGAGCATCAGGCTGGCCGGTTTCTTATCTAACTGGTGGTCAGACACAGAGTGACCGTTTAGAGGCGCTGGAAGCACTGTGTTCCTATAAGTGCCGAGTCCTTGTGTCAACTGATCTTTCTGCCCGTGGACTTGACTCGGAACATGTTAATCTTGTTGTCAATCTTGACATGCCTCGCGATCAGGCTACATATCTTCATCGAGTAGGGCGAGCAGGGCGTTTTGGTTCGCGAGGTGCTGCCATTACTCTTGCCACAGAGGGAGACGAATGGCAAGCTATGAGGGCTATTGCATCTTTGGCAAATGTGAGGATTTGTCTTCTGCAAGAGGGCTGGAAGTCCAGTATTGCTAGTAAGGATGTTAAAAGTATGGAAGAAATGGAGTATTTATCTGATGATGAGCTACAGATGTGGGTGGAGAAAAATTCTAGACAAGTATATGGCAAAAAAAGGGATGATAAAGCTAAGGAATCTATGGATAAGGGAAATATAACTAAAGGAAAAGATTCTAAATTAAGAGAAAAGAATAAGATCAAAGATGAGGAATCATTAGAAGATTCCGGTAAAGAAAACAAGGATAATAATTCAGTCTTCAAGAGGAATTCCTGCAAATCCAAAAACTTTAAAGAACCAAAGGAATTTGGTAAAATGTATAACCAAGACATTATGACTAATAAGGAGAATACCAAGAAAACTAAAGATTATCAGCATGAGGTATTTCACCTACAAACTGTACATAAGAAGAAAACTGCAGCAGATAAAAAGAAAGAAGAGGCAGCTCAGATTAAAGAAGAAATTTACAAAAAAGTATTAACCTTGTTAGAGGGAATCAATTCCAAACCACCTACAGTGAACATATCCTATTCAGACATACTATCAGAATGTTCAGAAAAATATGACAGTATCTCAGCTGCTGATAACCCAAAAGTACGAGTACCATCTGTGCCAAACACACTAAAGCCAACTAACGCTGGTATAAATGCACTTGATAATCACTGGAAAATTATTCAAGAAGAGCACGAGCAAAAAGCAATTTCTGTCGATGAAATTTGGGTTGATAATGAAACTGATATTCATAAAGGCCTGGAAGCATTAATTGAAGGAAAAGATGCAGTGACAGTCCTAAACCATTATGGTAATGGAGAAACAGAATGTGGTTTGTCAGATGAGTTGACACCAATATTGGTGGCTGGAGAATCTTCTGAAAACCTCACTGGTAACAAAGCTGCAACAGTGAATGGTTCTGTGATTTCCAAGGAAAGTGAATGTAAACAGAATGCAAACAGTGAAATAAAGAAATCATCCGAGTCTTATTATTCAACTGAAATCTCGAGTAGTGATGCCACTGATTATCCTAAGCCTAAAAATAAAAGGAGAGAGAAAATACTTTCAAAAGCATATAGTCCCATACAAAATATGCATATCAGAAATGAAGAACAGCAACCAGAAAGTTGCAAGTATCCTGACAAAACAAGGCTTAGTAGAGGACAAAATCAGACCAAAGTACAAAGGAAAGTAAGACATATTAAAAAATATGCTTCATTTGCTAGTGTGGATGGCAGTCACACACATGCTCTCAATGATGTACATGGTGGCACATACAGTAGACAATGGCAGTATGGAAATCAGTCTATGTATGACTATCCTAACCAAACCCAGCAACAAGAAGTTAATGGTACTAATACCCAGAAGCATCATAGTCAATCCAATTTTCATAAAATCAACCATAATATGGCACACGAGATGAATTTTGGGAATTATCAAGATTTGGAAAGTAATCAAGTGCCACAACTAAATGGAGATTATTATTGCCATAACTATGCAAATTATTGGCAGGACTACTCTTATAATGCATATCTGAAACAGAAGGCATACATAGAAAGTGCCAATAAGTTTGCTTCCATGATGGATTATGTTCAGACTATGGGAAGAATGAGTGCATGGATGGCTCAAGACTTTCACAAACGCAATAAGGAAAACAGTAGCTAGGAAATAATTTTTTAATGAGTGTATAAAATTATAACAAGAATATATATTCAAGAAGTTTTTATTTTATTAGGTATTAAATATTATATACTAATAATATACAACATAATGTTTTAAGGAATAAACACAGTCTGATGCTAAAGTTTCCATGTATTGTACTGTAATATAATTGAATTATGTTTTTTTCTGAACTTAAACAAATATTTTAATGCTTGTTTTAGGTGAAGTTGTTCCTAAAAAGACATTTTTTGTACGTCATAACATTGTTTAAAACATCAGAGAATAAGGATGTCTAAGAGATACAGAAGAAAGTTGCTGTCTTGCACAAAAATGCCAAAGGCTGATAGTTCTTCAAGCTCCACTCAAAGTGCAACATTAAGTCCGTACTTTCTTGAACAAAGCAGTGGGGAATTTGCCCATAATGACAGTGAGTCTGGTCAAGTAATGAAAGGTAATATTGAAGGAAGTGATGAGGAATTTGAGGAAGAAATAAAAGCAAATAGGATTATTGGGTTGATGAAAGATGCTCATATAAAGAGAGAATCTAATAAATCTTGTAATGCACAATCTTCAGAAAAAAGACTTAGTGTTGATTTAAGATTGTCAGAAGATTTCTTTGATCAAGACAGCATTGCCCTAGCCAAAGCTCTTCTAGGTAAGTTAAAATTACATTTTCATTTTTATTGTTTCTAATGATTTTGTTGTACACGGGGATTAAAGAAAAGCAGTTAGCTTTTTAGTGTTTTGAAAGTCTGCATTAATAGGTTGAGAACTAAATTATATTCATTATTGAATAAGGATGGATATTAGTAGTATGAATAACCTTCACAATTTTCAAGTAGATTAAGAACTATACTGTGATGCAGTGGGATTTCATGTATCAAAATTGACTGGAACAGTGTGCATTTCGGGTAACAGAATTTGTGGCTAATGAATTTGATCATATCCAAGCCATAATTTATGAGACCTGCCTATTGTTTTGCAATTAACAAAAATAATGATGACAATAATAATAAATAACAACATTGTTGTTATTTTCCAAGTAGATACTTTCCTTACAAATATTTCTTCAGTAGAACAGAGTATAACATTATACAGATTCAGATGTACACATAATACAGGAGGGCCATACTCTATGACACTTTGCTTTACTGTGATTTGCTAATATGGACATTTCAAATTACAACCAAAAATTTGTTTTTATGGTTCACATTATACAGATTCAGATGTACACATAATACAGGAGGGCCATACTCTGTGACACTTTGCTTTACTGTGATTTGCTAATTGACATTTCAATTAAACCAAAATTGTTTTATGGTTCCTGATATACTATTATAGCTTCTGTGCACTACTGTTTGTTTATATCCTATGTGAGCTCCATGTCTTATCGATTATGTCTGTAAACTTTTCAGAATTTCAGTTGTTTGAATGTTATTGCAGATTTTACATATACAGCCTCTCCTCACTTACTGACGTATTCATTTACTGACAACTCGGAGTTACGACAGGCTCTCTGATGAGTCGTTATTGTATACTATACGGTGGCCTGGTGGCTAAAGCTCCCGCTTCACACACGGAGGGCCCGGGTTCGATTCCCGGCGGGTGGAAGCATTCGACACGTTTCCTTACACCTGTTGTCCTGTTCACCTAGCAGCAAATAGGTACCTGGGTGTTAGTCGACTGGTGTGGGTCGCATCCTGGGGGACAAGATTAAGGACCCCAATGGAAATAAGTTAGACAGTCCTCGATGACGCACTGACTTTCTTGGGTTATCCTGGGTGGCTAACCCTCCGGGGTTAAAAATCCGAACGAAATCTTATCTTAAAAATCTTATCTTAACTTGGGTCACAAACGGGCAGCGCAGTGTCTCAGTGTCAAGCATCTGAATCTCCTTCCTGGAGCCACTCAGTACACTAGCTTTCACAGTCTCCAAGACTACATATTCGTACAAATTTCTTGTTTTTTTCTCTTGGAAGAGGAAAAACAAGAGGATAATGGAAGAAGTAAAAAAGAAGTTCACAGTAAAGGGGTTAGCTGGTGTGTTCGTATGTGTGTTTACATTCTCGGTGTATCGTAGCAGCTTAAGAAATTATTAAACTCAGTGAACAACGTATGTCGATGGTAATAATAATATTACAGTAATAATAATACAATCACTGGAGTGCTTTAAATGTCGGTTAACAAACCTATACATGTACGAAATATGTATGCTATTTAACCCTTTGAGGGTCGACAGGCCCTCTCCAAGACTCGTTCTCAGGGTCGGCCAAATTTAAAAAAAAAAAAAAATAATTTTCTCTTATGAAAAGATAGAGAAACTTTTCCCGATCATAATGACACCAAAAGTTTGAAATTTGATGGAAAACTTACGGAATTATGCTCTCGCGAAATTAGTCGGTATTGGCGTTGTTTATACGCATCGGCGATTTTTGCCCAATTTGAGCCCCATTTTCGGCCAATTCCACTGTACTAGTTGACAAAAAACATGAATATTTCGCTAGAACTCCATTTTTTCTATCGAATGAGTGCAAGAAACCACCCATTTATCAATTTCAACTATCCAGTACAGTGGTCAGAATAAAGCAATTTTGCCAATTTCACACAAATTTCAAAGATGCCAATTTCCGAATAGGGTCCAGAATAAACAAGAAAGACATTCCTGGCACTAAAATGACATTTCTTCTGTTCATTAGTCACGTCTCAAGGCACCTCTTACATTCTTTTGCTTTCCACTTTGAATTTTTATTCTCACAAAAAATAGAAGATTTACTGTTATGCAGAGTACTGCATTAGTGTAAAAACTGGTATAAATAATATTGGTGCACTTGCAAAATAATATTAGACTCGCCAGCTGACGTGTATTGGACACAGCATAATTTGTTTACTTTTGAACTTTGTTAATAATCGAACATTTCTGCTACTTTGAGCTCAATTTCAAGGTACTTTTCATTGTAAAACCAGTCAAAATCATCTCAATGTCTGTAATATGTCCTCCATTCTATAAAATGAGACCAAGAAAACTAGAACACAACAATAAATACCATACGAAAATAAAGTGCAAAGTCGCTGTTTTATTCCCAAAAAAACGGTCAGTTTTTTTTCTCATTATGCACTGTGTGCTGCAGGATTTTTTTTATACTGTGCACACTAACCACATAGACCCATTCTTTCATATGAAGGTCTACCAGCTTTCTCCCACTAGATTTGAGGGCACTAGAACTTAGGCGTACTAGTACGTCAAAAACCCTGGGTCGTAAGCCGTACTAGTACGGCCGAAACCCTCAAAGGGTTAAAGTGCTCCAGAGCGATTATTTATTGTTGTTATTGTTTATTATTATAAATTGTTAGTAGTATTATAAAATATTTTCTTTTTAATTTTTTTTTTCCCAACAACCCGGCCGTATCCCACTAAGGCAGCGTGGCCCAAAAAGAAAAACAAAAGTTTTTCTTTTCAAATTTAGTAATTTATACCGGAGAAGGGGTTACTAGCCCCTTGCTTCCGGCATTTTAGTCGCCTCTTACAACACGCATGACTTACGGAGGAAGAATTCTGTTACCTTCCCCATGGAGATAAGAGGAAATAAACAAGAACTAGAAAGAAAATAGAAGAAAACCCAGAGGGGTGTATATATATATTATGCTTGTACATGTTTGTGTAATGTGACCTAAGTGTAAGTAGAAGTAGCAAGACGTACCTTAAATCTTGCATGTTTATGAGACAGAAAAAAAGGACACCAGCAATCCTACCATCATGTAAAACAATTACAGGCTTTCGTCTTACACTCGCTTGGCAGGACGGTAGTACCTCCCTGGGTGGTTGCTGTCTACCAACCTACTACCTATATAAAGTATTATTATTATTATTATTATTATTATTATTATTATTATTATTATTATTATTATCATCACAGTGGAACCTCTACTTGCGAGTTTAATCCGTTCCATGACCTTGCTCGCAACTGGATTTGCTTGTTTGCAGAGTCAATTTTTCTCATTTAAATTAATTGAAATGCAATTAAGCTGTTCCAGTGGAATTCTGTACTTCAATAATTTCACTAATATCAATGCTACGGCTTATTTATCTATCTCACTTCATCTAATATGACATAATAAACAATATAAATAACATAGAAACCTGATATATACTCTAAAATTAATAAAATATGTAATTCATGTAGTGGTATGGGCAGTGTCAGCGGTGGACGAGAGTTCGTCTGGAGACAGGACAAAATACTTCTTGAATAATTTTGCTAATATCATCTAAACAGCTTATTTATCTATCAGAGTTCATCTAATATGACATAACAAACAATATAAATAACAGAGAAACCTGATATATACTCTAGGACGAATAAAATGTCATTATATACAGTGTACATGTGTGGTGGTGGTGGCGGCAGCCGACGAGTTTGTTTGGAGACAGGACAAAATACTCCTTGAATATATCGCTATCATCAACTCTACGGTTTATTTATCTATCACAGTTTATCTAATATGAAATAATAAACAATATAAATAACATAGAAACCTGATATATACTCTAGAATGAATAAAATATGTCATTATGTAACAGGTGGAGGCAGCCACAACTGCTCCTGCTTTGTTGTGGTAAACACTGCCATCTAGTGACGGCCTTTTGAAACTGTCTGTTATTATAATTATTGTTATGTAGTACATTATTATTATATACGTATTATTATTATACGTATTAATATTACAGTGGACCCCCGGTTTGCGATATTAATCCGTTCCTGAGAGCTCATCGTAAACCAAAATTGTCGGAAAGCGAATCAATTTTCCCCATAAGAAATAATGGAAATCAAATTATTCTGTGCAAGACGCCCAAAAGTATGAAAAAAAACTTTTACCACGTGAAATATTAAGCTTAATGCACACAAACTGAAGAAGACATGCACAGTTTGTAGTATGCACTCTACTAACAATAGAATACATGACACTTACCTTTAATGAAGATCTGGTGATGATTGACGGGATGGGAGGAGGGGAGAGTGTCGAACCTATTGTTTAGAAGGGGAATCACCTTCCAGTAGGACTTGAGGTAGCAAGTCCTTTTCCTGGGTTACTTCCCTTCTTCTTTTAATGCCACTAGGACCAGCTTGAGAGTCGCTGGACTTCTGTCGCACAACATATCTGTCCATAGAGGCCTGTACCTCTCGTTCCTGTATGACTTTCCTAAAGTGCTTCACAACAGTGTCATTGTACAGGTTGCCAACACGGCTTGCAGTAGCTGTGTGAGGGTGATTTTCATCCAAAAAGCTTTGCTCTTCAAGCCATTTTGTACACATTTCCTTAATCTTTGAAGTAGGCAAATCCTTCTTCTCTATTCCATCCCTCACTCCGAAGCTTTTCCTCTGTATGGCCCTTTGTGTTGAAGATGATCTAGCAGCTCTCAGTGGTTAGTTTCGTCATTGTCCTCCTCCAAACCTCTCCACATCTCCCACTAACTCCAACCCCAGGACTTCCCCATGCCACAAATTCCTCAACTGCATAGGTTTCCCAGGTTAGCCTCAAACCCTTTCGAAATCACCTTGTCCCTACACATTCTGGCCACAGTTTTGTCCAGCAAGAGTTCAGGTCCTCGTAGTCACTCCCTCCCAAGCCAAGGTTTACCACAATTGAGGATATTACAGT